GCTGTCATGATCTGTTGCAAAGTCTCGGGCTCCTCGTCCAGGAAGTGCTCGCCTGTCGCCTCGCAGCGAGCCTTCTCCCTCTCGTAATCGGCCTCTGTACGATGCTTCTTCTCAAGCTCGCGAATCATCATGGTCTGACTAGGAGTCCATACAGCGTTCTTCTTCATCTGCTTGCGCAGGACGGCCATTTCGTATTCGGTCAACTTCTTCCAGGGTGCCCATTTGCTACCAGGCTTCGCATCGGCTGGTGGTGGGGCCAATTGTGCGAGCGCATTGCTGGTGGATATGCCGGCGATGGAGCTGTGCACGTTGGTACCGAGTACGCCAGCAGCGCGCGACCTGCCCCCAGTTGCCCTTGAATGTCTGTCCCGGTTGTCCTTGCGCTTCCTGGGTGATGCCACGTCGATGCCTGAACCGCCATCTGAGTCTGACGAGTATGTTGCACCGCGGCGCCCACGTCCCCGTGGCAGAGGGACGGCGGTCTTCCTGTGCCTGTCTCGGGGTCGCGAGGTGTTGGCGCCATGTCGGCCGCCATCGAAGGTGAGGCGCAGGTGGGCGGGGCGTATGTAGTCGCGGTTTACGGGTCGGTGGGCGCTGGGAGAGACTGGCGGGGGCGTCGGGTCGCGTGAGGGCGGCTGTGGCTGGGCTTGGAGTTTCCGCTTGATGACTGATGAGCGCTGGCAGTGGCGGACAGTGACCTCATACAGCCGCGACGCTTCTGTGTAGGCAAACTCTCGCTGATTGATGGCCTTTTGAAGATGCTGGGCGATGTTCTTGCGTAGTAATACCGGGTCGGGGCGCTCTTGCTCGGGGAGGGCGGGCAGCTTGCCATACTGGACCGTCAGCTCGTGCACCTGCTGGACGGCGTCCGAGTAGGTGGAATCGAGGTCGGCGATCAGCGTCAGCGAGCGCACCAGATCCGACGGGAAGAATTCGGTGTAGTCGAGGAAGTCGTTGACCGTCGTCTGGGCGTCCGGGTTCGGGGCGGGTTGGGCCATTTCTGGCGCATCGTCGGCTTCAGACATGGCGCATCGCGGGGAGGCAGAGTAGATGGAGGGTTGCGACGCACGCGTCAGACTCTCCAGCCACGCGTCAACTAGAGTATTGAGGAGAATCAGCGCGATTGTGAGGGCGCGAGTTGCGATATGCGCTGACAAGATAGGGCGGCTGATGGGAGCTCGTCGCACTGAGGTTCGCGGAGGGAGTTCGTGCTAGCCGCTTTGGGCGCGCCTCTTGTCGATCTCTCAGGAACGCCCATGCGCTTGCGAGTTTGCCCAGCTGCCGGCTCGCCCCGCAACACCCAATTTGTGCCTAGCAACTGTATCGTCCTTCACTCTCGTGCGTCACCTTACTGGCAAGAAAATGTGTCACGCTGACCTTACGCCTGGAAAGGCTTTGCATCTGCACCTACCTGAGTCGGTATGTGATTCCACGACATCTAGGTGGCATAAGGTGCACCTTTCGTGACCATGCACCTTCAAACACACGTCTTCTCAAATCTATACCGTGCGCCTTCAATTGATACATCTCCTTTGTAAAGACCACTATCAGATCAAGTCAACCTCTCTTTCCAGTTCTCTCAGATGTCTGGGTGAGGCTCTCGCTCACTGCGCCTGTCGTTTGCTCCTCCCTCATCCGTCTGTCCAAGCGCGATCCCCGCATATATCTTCGCGCTTTCTATCGCAAACAATTCCCACCAGTTCCATTCGTCAAAAATCCACCATGTCTTCGGCACAGCTACAGCGTCTTCGGAGGTTCGTCCAAACAGACCTTGATGCTCTCCCTGACCGCCCCGTGTCTCCACAACCTGAGCCCAACCCAGAACCCAAACCTGACCATGCCAGCTACGACGACTCCACTGGCGGTGTATCGCTCGAGAACGCACCGCCGAATGCGCCTGCTAGCAAACAAAACTCAACCAGTAAGATCGATACGTCCATAAAGACACCGCCTGCCGTCGAGAACACCGAGCGCCGATACGTCTGGGTCAAAGACGCCGATAGCTCCTTCAACCCAAACCTGGACTCGATGCGCCTATCCACCGCCTCAGCCCCAGCTCCTCGAACTGATGCCGCTGGTGTTCCGGCTACCGATCTGCAACGTGGCGACCTAGCCTCACCTCGCCATCACTTCACTCCTATCCAGGCACTGTCCAAGTACCCTTACAAGTACTGCGACAAGAGTCATATGCAAAACATTGCATCTGCCTTCTTCGATCAAGGAAAGTTTTGGCAGCGAGAGTGGGACCTGTAAGTTCACCTCACATGATAACTCTGAAGAATATGGCCGCATCGCGACAACTCTCACCACTCACTTGCTAACCTCACCAGGTACTACATCTGGGATATTGAAGAGACCTCCAAGCCCTTCGTACTCGTTCGTGAGAGCCAAGTTCTAGCCTTGCTTGGTGAGATCAACAAGCACCTCAATCTCTCTTTGAGGATCAGCGACCAGCAGCGTGAGGAGGTAACACTGCCCGCTCATACGTACTGCCTGAAGTTTTAGACTAACCGTCATCTCCAGGGCCTACTCGTGCAATTCCCTGATCACCCCCGCTGCTTGCCTCGATACCTTGGACGCTCGCACTCGCGCGAAGACGTTGATAGTATGGCCGAGAACGCCCCCAACGAGCACTTCCGCGCGGCAGGCGAATCTTCACACCCACCGCTTGAGCAACCCACTCTGGAGGGCTTCAAGCAACTGATGGAGAACCTGGCTGAAGCACAGAAGGCGAAGAACAAGGCGAACAAAGCAAAGAAGCAGCAAGAGCGACTGGGCAAGAACAAGTCTATGACCGACCAGTTCAAACGCGCGTCCAGGTATCTTGGTCTGCGCGATTCCATTCAGAATCCATCATCGTCCACCTTGTCTCCGGCAGTCGATCCATCCCAGCCAGCTCCATTCTCTTTCGATCAGTCTGTCGTCTTCGTCTGTGTTGATGTTGAGTCGTACGAGAGGGCCCATCACAAGATCACTGAAGTCGGTGTCGCCACCTTGGATACACGCGAGCTGGTTGGTGTCCCGCCTGGCAAGGACGGCGAGGCCTGGAGAGAGAAGATTCGTGCGCGTCACTTTCGCATCAAGGAACATCGCCACCTGGTCAATTCCGAGTTCGTTGCTGGACATCCCGACAGCTTCAAATTCGGTCACTCGACCTTTATATCACTCAAAGAAGCTGCGAGTCATGTCGCGGCCTGTTTCCATGCCCCTTTTGCCGCCGAAAACGGCGATGACTTCCTCAGCCACTTTGATCCCACTGAGAAGCGCAACATCGTCTTCCTCGGTCATGATACTCTGGGCGACGTTCGCTACCTTCAACAACTTGGATACGATCCGATGAAGGTAGAGAACATCCTCGAGGCGATGGACACCGCGACCATGTACAAAGTCTGGCGTCGGGAGCAGCAACCCACCAGCTTAGGCCGGATCATGAACGCCTTCGATGTCCCTGCGTGGTTTCTTCATAACGCGGGCAACGACGCTGTATACACCGTGTGGGCTATGCTGGCCATCTGCGTGAAAGAGGCCACTCTTCGCAGTTCCCCGGAATTAGACGATCTGCGAGAGAATGACATGAATGCGAAACTCCAGGCTGCTCTTGAGGATGCTGAGCAGAGGGTGAAGGATGATGCCGAGGGCTGGAGCGATCATGAAGCGACTGGAGACGGTGGCGTACCCGTACCTCTTGCGTCTGTTCTCGCGCCAAAGCCAGTACAGCCCATGACGAAGGCTATTCCTCAGTATGACGGTTATTCAGATTTCGGTATGGACACAGGTCGTGGTCGTGGATATCAAGCTTCGAGCGGATACCGCGATGGTGCTAGACAGGGAGCTTCTCGTGGACGGGCACACGGTCAGTCGCAGGGAAGTAGTCGCGGTCGCGGTCGTTCAGGCTCGCCCAGGGGTGCGTCTCGGCCAGAGGCTGTTCCCAAGGTGGACTACCACTGGTAGGCAGGAAGTTGTGGTAGTGATTAGCGCACAGTGACGGTCACTCGGATACTAAAGGTGGTTCTTGGCAGTCATGTAGTCTTGCGACGAGAGATACCAATGATAAGTCACTAGGAATGAATGACCATGTCTACATGAATTAGAACTATGAAACGAGATGATGCACATGCATTGATTTACTACCGGAGTTAAGGGAAAGAATAACGCAGACGGTATACCGCACTTTGCTGCAAGCCTACCCTCGTGATGACTACCCCAGACGCCAAGCAGTGCGCCCTCCAATCTGCTGAGTCGTCACCCTTCTCTGCCCATCTTCCCACATCTCGAACACTCTCGTTGCACTCCATTTGTCCTCTTTTCTTTACCAACCCTGTGCGCGTCTCTTTTAGAGATAACAGCATCTCACGTCTTTGCGCACAGCCCTTTTTAGAGATTGCGACACCTTCTTCTCTTCTCGATAACCTCACGCTCATCTCCAACGAGAGATGGCACTCTGCTTTTCATACCTTTCATGCTTGTTCTTCTGAAAACAGCAACACTCCACCTCGTCCTCTCTCTCTTAACCTTTCCTTACTTCTCCTTGCGCATCTCTCTGTGGAGATGGCGGCACTCCCTCTCCCCCCCTTCCACATGCGTTTTCTTCTTTATAATCATCACAGCATCTCGCCTCTCAGACACACATATATATATACATCTCTTTGTTTGTCCGACGACATTCTTCTCTTTTCCAACCTACGCCGTGCTCAACACTTGTTGCTCCATCAACACCATCGCAAACTCCAAAGCATCGTGCCTATCGCACCAAATCCGTCCTATACCTCGCCATCAATGCCAACACCCAGATTAACGGTGTCGCACTGATTGGCATAGTCTCCTGCTCTTTCTTGCTGGGAGATACCCTATTGGCACTGTCCCGCTAGTTGTCTTGTGAACGTCCTTTTCTGGGTGGGAAGGAGACCGCATCGCTTCGTATCCTCGTGTCATATACACGAGCCTCGCGAGTGCAGTCTCGGGATCTAGTTGCCTCTTCGCAATATCGACCTTGCCTGAAGCTAAGATCTATCATCTTTCGGCTTGGACGGGCTCCTGCTCGCTCGCGATCTGTCCGGTGCCTTTGCCGGTGCCTTCGCTGCTGTCTTCGCTGGCGACTTTGCCCTGGTCTTCGCCGGCGACTTGCCACGTCCCTTCGCACCCTCATCATCTGTCTCTTTCTCTTTCATCGGCGACGCCGCCATCTTACTCAACACATTCTCGTTTAAAGACCCTACGGGCTTCCCGGCATTGCGCGTGGTCCTGCTCCTGTTGTTGGGTACCTGGGATGGAGCTGGGGGCGCAAGACGAGCGGTGCTGGTTGCGTTCGTCGCGGAGGTGTTGGCTGTTGTGGTGTCATTGTTTGGGTTTGCTGGCTCCTCGGTTGTAGGTTGTGTTTCTGGGAGGATGTGCCTGTTCTCAGTGGAAGATGGGGCTGTATCGCGGACTTCAGTCGTCTCATTTCCTTCACGAGGCGCATCAACAACGTTCTCCGTCACCATCTCGTCCAGCGTCGGAGTCTGTTGATCACCAAGGTCTAGCTTGGTCCTCGGCGTCTTTGATGACCTAGGCGGTCGCTGCAACAATCTAGGTGGCATCTGAGATGAACGAGGCGGCTCCTCAGCGTCATCTTCTGTCAAGAGCCGCTTCGTAGCAGGCGTCAAAATGATCGCGGGCTTGCGAGTAACGGCAATTGGAGTCATGTTCTCCAAAGCCAGAGTCTGCTCATCACCAAGGTCCTCCTTAGTCCTTGGAATCTGAGATGGCTTGGGTGAACCTTCGTCGTTGTCATCGTTGATCTTGCGCTTCGTAGCTGGAGTCAGCTCGATGGCGGGAATATCGACATCGGGGATGTCAATATCGGGGATATCGGTGGTAGCCTGAGGCGGCTGCTTATTCGGACTCGGCGAAGGCATGGCATAGAGGTCGTCGTTGCTGTGATCGCTTTCATCGATGATGGTATCACCGTCAATGATGAGAGTATCGCCTTGAGTGTTGGTCTCGCCCTTTGCTGCGTCTTGCTCGGGAAGCGCTGCTGCCTCCGTGCCAACTTCGTCGCCCAAGCCGTATGTGAAAGTGCCTGAGTTGTCTGCGTCGCCTTCGAAAGAACTCCAGAAGTCTTGGATGTCAGACGCAGCATCATCATCATCATCTTCTCCCTGTTCTTCTCCGCCTGGTTCTTGTACGGCAAACTTGAAAGCTGGTCCACCGCCAGGCGTCAGTAAATTCCCGATCGGAACATCTGCAGTCTCGCCGCTAAGCCGAAGCTGCTTGATCGGTCTGGGTGTCTCGCCCTCATCATCAGACTTCCGCTTCAACGCATCCAAGCCTTCGATGTATGCTGGGAGTGTGATCGTCCTAGTGTTCCAGTCTTTGGTGAGATCTTCGTGCGACTTTGGCGTCGAGGTTGTATCGGGAGTGGCTGGAGGGGCGGATGTAGTGGGCAGGGGTGTAGATGGGCTTGTGAGTCTGGCGACGGAGACAAGACGTGGCTGGTCATCGATAGGATGGTTGGAAGGGATCGCGCTCGGTGGCTTCTGCGTCCCAGATGGAGTGAACGACTTCGCCGCGGTGACAGCCATCTCTGTGGCTTTCGCACCGTCGGTCTGCGACTTCAGCTTCTTCACTTGCATCTCCAGTGTCTCGCGACGAGCAGTCTCCTTCTTGAGCTGCTCTTTGAGCTCCTCATTCTCGTCGTTAAGAGCGGTCTGCACATTATCGTTGATCTGCTTCGCCTCCGCAGCAATGCCTTCCCACTCTTTGACCTGCTCTTTGAGCGTGGTGACTTCCTGGCTATGCCGTAATCGCACCTCATGGAAGTCTCTCTCCATCGAAGCTGCATCGGCCCTGCCCTTCTCTTCTTCTTCTCGGGACGCTTGCAACTGCATGGTTAGAGAAGCTGCGTTGGCCTCTGCCTCTTCCTTCTCTTCTTGGACTTTTCCGACGAGTTCTCGCACTTGGGCCAAGCCAGATCCAGCGACCTTGATAGCGTTGTTCGCGCAACCCAATTGCTCTTTGACTGAGAGGAGTTCCACGTTAGCCGTCTGCGTTTCTTGTCGCGCAGCTTCCAGCTCGGCCTTCAGGGAAGCGACTTTAGCCTCAACCGCCTCAATCTCTTCCGGTACTGCCTGAGGCTCTTGACCATGAGAAGCCAGTAGCGAAGCGACTTTGGCTTTAGCGCCATCGGCCTCTTCTCGCACCAGCAGCAGCTGCTCGTCCTTGGAAGCAGCTTCCATCTTGGCGTCCACAGCCTCTTGCCGCGCCGCCCGAAGCTGATGACCCATATCCTCCAGTGCATCTCGCTTTGGGGTTGATGAGTTGTGAGACGAGGTGGACATCCTACTCGGGTGCGCAGGCTTGCTCGCAGACTGCTGAAGCTCTTTGACCAGCGCATTGCTGCGTTTCAAGCGCTCGGTCGTGTCCTTGAGTGCCTCTTGTAGTTTACGGACGACTTCTGGTGTCTGTGTAGGCTCTTCGCGCACAGGTGTCGCAAAGTCTGGAATCTCGTCGACCTGTGTAGTTCGACGCGCTCGATCAGACCTCGCTTTCTCCTTCGTCTCATACTCCTTCTGCTGCTTCTTCGCAACTTCCAGCTCTTTCCGTAGACCAACATTAGTCTTGAGCATGATATGAAGCCAGTTAAGAACGCGCCAAGTGATAGCCTTCCATGTGGACCGGTCGACTCCTGGTGGAGTCCCTGCGCCTTTCCAGATCCTCATCACACTTACAGTGCCCCGAACAGTCATGAAGGAGTACAATGCGTATTCAAGGGCGCGATATTCGAGAGCGGAGTTGGCCTTGTTCATGATAGTATAGCCGGCGCTTACGATCCTGAACAGAGTTGGTGAGACGATAGCGTCCATCTTTGCGGCTGTGTTGTTGGAGGTGACGGAAGCGGTGACTGTTGATCTTGTGTTTGTGGTCTTCTTCGTGGTGTTTGTCGCGGTCACTGCAGCGGTGGCGGCGGCGGTCCTGGCGACGGTCGCGAAGTTGGTACTGACACCTTGCAGGAGATCGGATGTCTCTGGCGCAGTGTTCAAAGGGGTAGTAGACGGAAGCGTCTTCGCTACTTGTCACAGCGCTGAAGGGTATGTTAGTGATCGTGCGGGTGGAATGATGAGGCGGGGGTTGGACTGACGCTGATAGCGTGGCTGCTGTAGAGACCTTGTCGCGCAAGTGTTCGCTTGTTTGGTTGCGGTGTAGTACCTTTGGGCTGTGTATCTGAGCCTCAGCGTCTTCGCTGCTACTGCAATTGCTGACGGATGCGGGAGTGCGCGTCGTAGTGTCGTCGTGGTGTCGTCGCAGTGGGCTGAGAATATACAAGGTAGAGGGGTAGCAGAGTCGCGACTCAATGAATGCAAGGAAACAGAAAAACTCTTGTTTACACTCGCTAAGTCGCAATAGTGTGCGCTGACGTAACGGAAAAGTCACGTTGTTGGAAGTTTTGGTCTTTCACTGATGCGATCGGGAGCCAAACAAAGGAACAAAGAGATAAGGAGACAGTGATAGCGGGATTCGAGAAGACACACGGAGTACTGGAAAGATGTTGCTTTTACATGTGCCTTTTGCAGAAATGATATCTAGGGGGAAGATACGTACTAGATGTTGCAACGGAACCTTGGGGTCGCCCACCAAGTTCCCCCAAACTCGCATTCCAGAGCCCTGTTTGACGCCGAACGAGGCGCGGGCACCAGAACTTCCGTTTGAGCCATCATTATAAGCTCAACACTTGCCATCAAAGACCTCACTTGCTCTTCTGCCCCCACCACGACTCCGCCTCCGCCGCCTTCCACTCGTCATACTCCCCCGCCGCACGTTCAATCACAGCCTGCTCAGCAGCCGCCTGCCACGTCTTGGCCAAATGACCGTTCTTGAGATCTTCCTGGAATTTGGCAACATCGGTGCGGAAACAATTGTTCGCCAGCGTGAAGGCTGAAGGCCGTGTGTCTTCTGTGTTGCCGGCGCTGATCTTAGCGAGGAGAGCTTGGTGCGTAGTGTTCTCGGGAAGCATGGAGATGAGTGTAGTTTGCTGCTCTGCGCTGAGGTTGGTCCAGGCTGGTCCTTCAAGAAGCATGTGCTGCGATGTGTGAGCTCTTTGACGTGTGGGTGGTGAGTGGATTGCGACGAAGACTTACGTATATGTCGGCTTTGACTAGGCGGCTGGAGGAGTTGGTCGTTATGTAGACGGGATCGAAAACTTTGCTTGGTCCCTTTTTGGTCGGGGCAGCTTTGGGAGTGGGCTTTTCCTCAAACTCCTCGAATCGCTCTGGTGCTTTGCGGTTGCGCGAGGGACGTGAGCTGGGTGCTGCTGCAGGAGCGGGTTTCTTGGCTGCTGCTTTCTTCGGGGCCGGCTTTTTGGCCGCGGGCTTCTTTGGAGCAGGCGTCTTCTTTTTCGTAGTCTTGGCTTTTGTTGCTGAGCTTGTACTCCTGGCTGCGCGTTTGGGAGGCGGTGTACCGAAGGCGGGCTCTTCGTCGTCATCATCAACTTCTTCGTGAGACCTCTTCGGGCTCCGCTTGGATGCGCGTTTAGCGCCCATGTTAGATGTCGGCATAGTGGTAGATGCAGGCGCCAGCGCCTGCTGAGGTAGGGATGGAGACTCGATCGATGGCATGATGGACGAGTCGTTCTCTGTTGTTGAGATGGCAGGATCTGGGACTTGGCTCGGCAGACTTGAGGCGATGGGTGAGACCTGCTCAGATGGAGATGAGGGAGGAGAAGAGAGGGGTGAGGAGTCGGGGTCCGAATGGTGCATCTTGACTCGTTTGTTTGGTGTTGTTGGAGGTGGTGCGGTGGTTTGCTCTAAGTTTGGTGCGGGCGGAAGAGGTGTCGGTTGGTAGTTGTGTGGAGAGGTGAGTCGGGTGGCGGACGAAGGTCTATGGTTGTTAATTGAAGCTGAGAGAGACGACATATGGGCTGCCAATGCGCGTTGAGCTTTCTATTGTCGGACAGTGGATACAGGCGAACAATAGGCTATTGGGCCAAGCGACAGTCACGTGTGAAAAGAAGAATGTCGGTGCGCGAAGTGAATGTGGAGGTTGTATTGAGCAATTGCACAATGGTAGTCACGCGCTTGGCAGACAAGTCGTGAAGACGCCGCACGGTACCTGGTGTAGTGAAGAATGGTAACGCACCTTACTGGTAACGACATCTTGTCGTTTGGACTGGATGCAGAAGTTCGATGTCGGACTTGAGCAAGTATTTGCTTACAAGACGTCGTAAGTGCAAGTGACTACCTGGGTAGGTTGGTATGAGCGGCAGCTGGCAAAATGCCGGTGCGATGTCGTTTGTGTTGAGGCAGTAGCTATCGTGTTCCGCAAGGCTGATCTACCAATGGCTAAGGTCGGGTTCTACTGGGATGCTTGAGCATCGAGCGACTTGAATCAGGGCTGAAAGCGCGTCCGCCACTCGATACATAGAGTGAAGGTGTTGAAAGTGTACGCGAGGATAGAAGCTCGGCTCCGCATGGTGGCTGGGGCGCTGAGTTGAGGTTGCACCAGATATTTCGTCAAGAGGATACCGTTATTACTCCAGTCAGTCTCTCTGGTCTCGAGATTCGGATGAACGCGTCTGTAGAGTCACGAAGGACAGTGCATTGAAGGGTCACGGCATGCTGGTTGTTCTGTGATGGCCGTTGGCGCGTCCGTGCGCTTTCCCGCGCGACCTTTCCGCATCGTCATCTTTGCGATCTGGTATCATCAGCCTCGACACGTATCCCCTATACGCGACTACTCACCCTCGGGCCTAACTTTGCGCTCGTCACATTATCTGACGACATTGTACACTCACCAGCTGTAATTCTCCGCACCCTCAACCGCCGCCATGATCAAACACACCATAATATCGCGGCTCGATGGTCAGTAACTCAGCCATATTGAAGGCTGCACACGTGCTTATACATGTCTAGGCCTTCATTTGGTAGCCTCGGTCGACAATAACCAGGTAACGGCGCCTCTCGAGCTGTTCACGTAGCCCAAAAATGGGACTCACATTTTCTAGAATGATGCCGAGTTCAACGAGGCCACGAACAAAGTAAAGATGTTACAGCGACGCCTAAACCGTAACGCCGAACAACAAGCGAGTATAGAGAGCGGAAACTACACATTCCAGTATGCGCATTGCCCCTGCCTTTACGTGCAGAGAAGCATCCTCGATCACATGCTAACGCAACCACCAGCTACATCATCGAAGGCGACCTCTGCTTCCTCTGCATATGCGACCGCTCATACCCGCGCAAACTCGCTTTCACATACCTCTCCGACCTCCAACGCGAATTCACCACTACATACCAACCGCAACAGTACCTCTCACCCACATGCCGACCGTACGAATTCGTCGGGTTCGATCAGTTCATTCAGAGCACAAAGAAGACATACCAAGATTCGAGGGCGACACAGAATTTAGACAAGTTGAACGATGAGCTGAAGGATGTTACAAAGGTCATGACCAAGAACATTGAGGATCTGCTGTATCGAGGAGACAGTCTGGAGAGGATGGGCGATATCTCGAGCCGGTTAAGGGAGGACAGTAGGAAGTACAAGAAGGCTGCTGTGCGCATCAACTGGGAGTTGTTGTTGAAGCAGGTGAGTTCAGGACGGAAACACGTTGTGGTAGCAGACTTGGAATACTAACGATGCGCAGTACGGACCCATCGGCGGACTAGCCTTCATCATCATCGTCTTCATCTGGTGGAGATTCTTTTAGACACATGCAGCGAGTCGGCACTCAGCATGTACCAAGGAGGGCATTCTAGGCACCGTCGGCGTTAGAGGCGCATACATTGCCGAAAAACGGCTCAAGATACACAACAATACCCAAGCTCCAGCTTTTCGTATACAAGTCTTCATACAAGTTCCACGAATGTGAATGATTGCGCTGTCGAGAAGACAGGGATGCCCTCCCAAGCCTCTAGCTCTAATTGGCTGGAAGCATGTCGTGAGCACTACATACCTCGCTAATCCTTCACACCATGTCTGCCCCACTCCACACTACCAATTTCGTTTTGCACCTTTTTACTTTTGCCAGTCCGGCACACTTCGACAGGCACTGCGGTGGACGACAGTGGACAGGACGTATACGGACGACATTATGCCATCGGGCAGTACGACGCACACGATGTGAACACCGCACCGGACTCGGACGCACGTGCCGGTATCATCACTATGACGGGATGATCAGATATGAGGGGAATGTTCTATAAGAGGAGGGTGAGAGGATTTGGAGCTCTAGGATGAAGCAGGATCTTCGGACGGATTACACTACCCACAATGACCGCCTCCTCTCCGTCTGAATAAGAACAATGCAGCCACTTGGTGTCAATATCGCTGTGGGTTGGAGGAAGTACGCGTACAAAGACTGTCAAGATACGATGGAAAGATCGGGTCAAGAGGAATACATGCCTACTTCGAGCAAAGAGAGTGGAGATATGGCCGTATTTCGGGGGATTCCATGGGTGAGGCATGCCGCCGTTCCCATATCCATTCACACCGGTGACGACCCAGTCATACCTAGTGTACCAGCGATACGAATACGACCGGAATCTTACAATAAAAGAGAGGGGAAAGTGGAGGGATGTGAATGACTAGCCCCAGAGTTCCGGGTGTAGGCTGCACACCTCCGCGCGGACGCTTCACATCGACGCATAACTAATACCACCTCTCCAACCGACCTTCCCAAACCCCGCCACCACAATGACTAAACCCCAACTCATACTCATCCCCGGCGTCTGGCACACTCCCTCCGCCTTCCTCCCTCTGATCACGGAACTAAACGCTCTTGGGTACGCAACGCACGCGCGCCACCTCGTCTCCGTTGGCAGTACAATACCTACCACCGACCTCTCAGCCAACATCGCAATCGTCTAGTCTATGATCAACGCCACTATCGGCGCGTCCGGCAACGACATCGTCGTACTAAGGGTGGGTGGTGGGGCGGAGGTGGAAGAAAAGAATCCGTCCTCGTCAGTTCATCTGTGTGAGGGGTGGGGATAGATGTTCGCTGGTGTTGGCGCATGATAAGATGATTGAGATGGTAAAGGGGCGAGTGGATTATGGTGCAACGATGAGTTTTGGGAAATACCTCGAGAGCAACTGAATTTTGCAACTCTACAAGCTTCAGTTGCCCTCGAGTATTTCCCAAAAATTATGGTGCAACGATATCCTCTTCTTCGAGTTGCGTGCAAGAGACGGATTGAACGGGTTAGGAGTGTCACAGGAGGAGGATTTGTGAAGAGGTGGAATACGGGAGGGGTTGAGGGTTCAAGAAAGTTTGGGTTTGGAGCTGAGTCGTAGGATCGTGGTGTCTTTGCAGCCGTCACCACGCTCATCCTTCCCCGATACGTGAGCAACTGTCCCCATACACGTCGGTATCAACCATCAAGCCTTTGGACGAGGAGCGCATGCTCCGACCGAGACAACAACCCCAACGAACAATCCACGGAACTAGCAGGCCCTTGCCGACGTGCGGTCACGAACGGCTTAGACGAAAGCCTGAGACTATCGGTTAAGCCATTCGTGACCGCACGTCGGCGAGGCGTTTTGCCGACTTCGTTGATCTCATGGGTGCTTCTGCTCCACCCTACCAAGCTTCAGGTAGGGTGGAGAAGAAGCTTCCATGAGATCAACGAACATGGACAGTCGATGTGGACGATAGTTGTCCTACGCGATGCGCACACGACAAGGTTTTTCTACGACACTCTCCGCACACTGGGACGGGAGTGTCAGCCATCCAAAACCTCCACGCTTGCTATCTTCCGACGACCGCACGATGGAGTAACCAACCCAACGGGCGCACAACTTTTCGTATCGGAATTCCTCCCCTCCCCCAGTCTTGGAAGTTATATCAGTGGAAATACTGTATGGTAGGATATCCATCAATGCTGAATAGATGGCTATCCTAGCATTCAGTATTTCCACTGACATAATCTCCAAAACCAGGGTACGTAGTGTTCGCAGAGCGCACTCCTCCATACCTTAACCATTACTCCAATCTTTTAGACTTTGTAAGTTGCAGATTGATATAGCAGCCTTCAACTTACGAAATCTCAAAGATTGGCGTAATGTCAGTCCAGAGGTAGGCCAGGACAAAGGAGGGGTTCTGATTTGATCTGCTATGATGCGTCTCTTGGACTTGATTCAACACAGAATCTTCCGAGCGAGGTATCAAAGCAAGTCAATTTAGAATGTCTGCTCTGTGTTGGTTACCTCTCTGGAAGTTGTGATGGCGTACGGTACGGGAAGGATGGTAAGGTTTGTTGGCTGCTTTTTGGGGGGGGGGAGGTATGGGGTTGGGTAGGTAGAGGATACTATATACCACGCGATGGTGCCAATTTTATTCGTTGGCAGGATCGCGTGATATATAGTATTGTGTGTTTACCTGAATTTATGGTTTCGGTGTATTGGAGGAAAGGTGGATGAGTGGATGAGTGGGTTGTAGGACATCGTGGTTGGGTGGAAGGTATCGGAAGGGGAAAATAATTAGCACCACAACGCTTTTCTGTTCCAGGAACTTGTAACATTATGAGGAACTATGGGTATTATGTGAGACTGACAAGTTGCGCGAAATTCTGGGGGTCTTGCGATGTGGAGGAATTATTTTCGTGGTTTGGTTTACAGTCCGAAGTTGAAAAACTACCAGTAGATACCCTTCGAATTTCCCCCCAACAGTTTTTATTTAGCTGCGTAGTCTGGACAACAGGAAGAGTTCGAATTACTACATCACTTCAGATAATCTTTACAAAGTGTATGGTGATGGCGATAATTCGCGATGTCGGCTTGAGCTATGTTGCCAAACACACGCTGGGATCTTATCGCATCACCGGCGGATCACATGCAGAGTAGATATGACGAGAGCTTCGTTGCTTTGGGAAGGGAGTTGAATGAAGGCAAGAGCTCATGTTGATATTTATTTAAAGAACCAACCCGTTATCAAGCCTCGATACCCGTGTCGCAACAACGACAACCACGTATGAAGCCCTCCTCGCAGCGCTCCAAGCGACAACATGCCCATTCATCGTCGATCCGCTCACGGCAACGCATCCAATGTCTCGATGACAGCGAACGTCTCCCTCGACTCATCCGACAACGGCGCGTTACCCGGCCTGTCAACGACAACAGCATAGACACCCGCATCCATCGCCGCTTCAGCTTCTATTCAAATCACAAAACATGTTAGTCACCGTACATGAAAGTGTGCATATGGAGCTAGCCACGTGCGATGGAGAAAGATGTATCGATGTGAAACATGGTGGGGTCGCGTGATGGGAAAGACTTATGTGGAACGAGAGACACGCGGATGTGGACGAGAGGGGCGGTAGGCGAGAGACGAGATATGCGGCGTGACGAAGGACGTGTGATGGTGGGATGATAGGTAAGTAACGAATTCGGAACGCGAGACAAAGAGTGGGTTGAAAGATGCGGTGGTGGGGTGCAGATGTAAGGGCGGTGAGAAGGCGGTGGTGTGTTGTTTCAAATCACCATTCGCCGTAACAGCCTCACGAAAATACCACATACCTTTTACATTGTCAGTCAAGAAAGCGACGTTCTTGACGTCCTTGCCCAGCTCACGGCATATGTTCTCGTAGGACGTCTTTTCCATTTTAGGGCCGGCGTTCACCGTGTCGTAGTGAGCGGCGAACAGGGGTTTAATGTCCCGCGTATTCGGACCGTCTGTGACGTAGGTAAAGAACTGGAGCTGAGCCTTCACGCTGCCGGAGGAGAAGATGGCCAGTGTTTTGCCGGCTGCTTTCCACTGCTCGAGTTGGGGGATTACATCGCTGAAGAGCGGGGTCTTGAGATCACCGTTGCGGAACCCGGTTGTCCATAGGTGGCCTGCGAGCAAAGGGGTTAGTTTTGCGGTGCAACTATGTGTATTGGCCGATGATTGATAAGATCGATAAAGGCAATGTGCATGCGTGGTGATGGTAGTACGCAAGCAGCGTTTAGAATGGGCTGATCGCCACGCTTGTGGTGCGATGGACGGAATGGGGTCTTGGAGCGGCGTCGAGCTGACAGGAAGAGGGTTTGGCACCCCCAAGGGTTGCTGCGACAGGCGGCGACTATCGCGATAATGCTGCCGGTGGTGACTGGCCGATCGAATCACTACTCTGTTTCGATCGAGCTAGCCGCTTTAGAGCGGCGCGGTGTCGGCGCTTGGTGTTGGCAATCATTTGGCTGGACATGGGAGGCCCGGGGTGCGTCGTCCATGTTGAAACACACAATTTGTTACCCACCTTGTAGTTGCTTCAAGTACACAGCCTTGACATCGCGCCGCGTAAGGTCTTGTACGTGGGCGAGTAGCGCATCGGCGCTGCGTTTGGCGTCGTCTGGGAACGATGCGATGAGGGTTTGGAAGTCGGCATCCGACCACGAATTGCGTGCTAGTCTTGTGAGACTGTCTAGTGCATACGGGTACTGCGGCTATTGTGAGCGAGACGGCGCGAAGAGGAAACCCCACTGGCGGGCGTCGCGTGACAGATGACGGAGGTTGGAAGCGCGAGATCATCGTTGGAGTGGCAGGTGCAGGTCGGAAAAGCATCTAGAACTCAGGGGAGGCGAAAGAGACGAGGAGAGCCATGAGTGGCTTCATCATTGCCGGGTGACACCAGGCGGGCATGGGAGGGCGGGCCGGCGTGATTCTCGACAGAGGTTGGTGGTGGTGATCACGATTCCGAATGCGGGGAAGATGCGCCTCGAGACGAACAGAAT